TTTGAGCGTTGGAGATGTAGACAGACTGATTAAAAAGGATTGCTCAAACATGTGTGAATGTCCTAAACTGGCTCCAAATCAAGTTATTAAAGAGGCACTGTGTAACTTTTCTGGTTTGAAGTCTGAGATGTTACTACCTGAAATGTTACACAGTATGGCATTAAACTTGTCTATCTTGCATTTATTCAATTACAGGTATTTTAGTGCTCAAAAATACCTTGAAAAACATACATTCTTTAGCTATGTTTATATGATGGCAGTCTGAACAGAAGATGCAAAAGTGGCGTCGCGTCTTCACTTTTTATTCCGCGTTTAGTTGAGCGTTTTCAGGAGGAAATCTGCGTGCATATGGTGAAGCAAAAGTGTGGAATTTGATTGGATATGCATGCCAGGCGGCTCGGTGGTGATGTATGTAATGTAAACACATACGCGATGTGAGCAGATTTGACCAGAGTTTTGCTTCTTGGGCAGTGCAGACAGAAACGCTACGATGGAGCGTATTCAACTTTTCCACTCTGGAGGGTGGTTTCAGATTTTTGCGTTTTTAAGCCCCAAAAAATGCCATCACAGTCTAAATGAAAGGCACTTCCATTAAAATATTTTGCCATTTTTACCTGCAAGCTTTCTAGACCTTTACTGTGAGTGGGCTGCCTGGGATCCAGAATACACACTTCTCCAACACTTTTATAAGATGTGAGTCTGGTTCAGATGATTATGCTTGACAGGTGGATTAGCCAATTAGGGCCCCCCTTTTTTGTCAGTATCAAAATAAATATGGCTGCTTACATGAATAAAATATGTGACAGGGGAATGAAAAACTTCTGTAGAATCAGTGAGTGATAAACCAAACTCAAGTTAATCTGTGGTGAGAGAAATGTGATTTAGTTTAAAATGATGGATGACCAATGAGCTCCTTCATTTCACAAGCCTCACTGAAATATGCAAATTTGTAAGTGAGTGGGGTCACCTCTCCACAGATCTGACCTGTAACTTGGCCTGGTGGTGTCATCTGCTTGTCTCACTCACAGCAGTCTAGTCAGTGTGTCTGCGGAGTAAGATAATTTTACTAAATAAATCACAAATACAGATTTCATGGACAGATATAACTGTGCTTGAAATATATAAATACAGTCCAGTCAGAAATGTATCGAAACAAACCCAAAACTTGAAATAAATGTCAAAACTGCTGCAAAACCAAATTTTTTTTAATAAATACTTTGCAGTGTGCACTTGATTCGCATGCACTTGAGTCCAAAGCTCATACTGAAACTGGTCTAGCATTGTCACTGCAGATACTGGATAAATTGGAAAGTTTTCTCACTCGGTCTTTACGCGTGGTTGAAATCAGAGTTGACTCATTTGTGTATATTTGCTGTCCTGGTTCACCTCCAATCTAACGGTTCTATCACTCTCAAAACTGTGAATGAACGCGCACAGGAAATGAAGCGCGTCACTTCCAGTAAAACTCAACTGCTTGGATAAGTGCTTGGTTTCAGTATTTATTGGTGATTATGCAGATGGGAAATCTGATGCAACTTTTCAGCAGTGCATATAGGACAGGACTAAAAAGTACGTGACTCTGTTGAATTTGAGCTAGGTGGGAAATCAAGTGTGTAAACCATTTTATAGTGTCATCATAGAGTGAGGGCTGCACGATGTAAATATATGTATCAAATAGCAAAAGCCGCACTTATTTTGATAGAATGACCTTTGCAAATAACAAAATATTCTGTCTTTTTAAAGCACCCATATCATGTCGTTTTCTGATCTGTTAGAATGTTTTCTCATCAAAAACATACCTGGAGTTGTGTTTTGTTTCATTCACACTTTTAAAACTACAAAAAGAACTACAAACACAGACAGGAAGTACTGCAGACAGACGAGACAATACAATCCAACAACATTCGAAACAATTTCTATCTTTGATGATTTAACAACATTATAACATGACTTAAAGCTCACAAGAGTCAATTTTGTGTAATATAGGACCTTTACAAGCAAATAGATACAACAAGACCAACGTTCATACAGTTAAAAAGCATTTATTGACTCTATATATATATATATATATATATATATATATATATATATATATATATATATATATATATATTTATGCATTTCTGTACAGAATAAATAGTGCATGTTGCAATGACATGATGAGACATTCACATCTGAGTGGTAGAGTTCAAATGAGTCAAAAAATAGAATCTAGACATTTCACAGCTCCATAAATCACCTTTCCAAAGCAGCAAAACAATAATTTTACAAATACGGCTAATATTCTGTATAAAAATAGACACCAATGAGAAATTGCACATAGAAAGGGCCCGTCTTTGGAATGCTTGCAGCTTCTTCCTCTACTTTTTTTTTTCAGTGCCACCACCTCTCTGATTCTCACAGAAACAGAAATGGCGACACAATATAAATATTTTATGAATTAGTATTATTAATAATATTTAATAATGCTGTCTGTTTCAGTAAAGCTAATAAAGTCATTTCTGTACAGTGTAGACACAGCACAAAGAGCAACAGAGGTTTGTATAATAGACAACACTGCTGTAACTTCATAACTACACCGGAGAAAGACTGAAAAAGTGATAATGAATACAGGAATATGGGTTTTTCAAACTTGTACCCTTCATTTATAAATTTACATTATGTGGCTTCATAGACTGTGTATATAAATGGAAACAGATAGCTCGCTTTCAAATAGGAAGTGAGCATTGACACACTTCAGGCTCCACTGACCTCAATACTTCAATTCACTTTGTCTTGAGAAATTCTTGGTCTTGAGAAAAACTCGTCATTTTGGTTTTAAAATGTTCATATTTCATAATGCTCTACATGATCCCAGGGTTTCATTTTGCTATTTTGACCGTTAATTACTTCCTGTTCCTAATATGGAATTCACTGAATGTCGATAAGCTTCATTTGACTGAAGCCGAGCGCTATGGGTTGGCACTCCTGATCTTGACTCATAATTACACTACAGCAAGTCAAATGAAAAAAGTGATAAGGAATACAGGAATATAGGTTTTTCAAACTTGCATCACTTCATCTATAAATTTACATTTTGTGGTTCCTAAATGTGCACTCAAGCAAGTTTCCAGTGAACATAATCTATTTTGAAAATCCAAATGATAAAAATTTTATTTAAGCAAAGACATAAGAGTAAATGTTGTGGTTTGTTTTAAAGGACAAGTTTAAGGCAGCTACCACCACGTTAAAGAGCAACATGGCTACACAAACACGCTAATCTAGATATTTTTCATTTTTGTGTTTTTAATTGTTTCTATGTGAATGCATTTTATTTTCAACGCACGCCATGTCAACAATAACAACAGCTTTGAGTATGATTAGACTGTTGGTTAATAACATGTGCATCAGGCCAGGGTGAACCATATTTTTTTTTTACACTATGCATTATGCCACTTTTCTATTGAGTCTACCACCTGCATGTCGCCATGGAGATGTTATAACTTCGCTTGGAATGTTCCACAATATGGCAAACCCATGGAGTCCAGTACTGAAGTCTCTGCACTGGCTTCCTGTGAGCTTCAGGATAGATTTTAAAGTTCTTTTATTGGTTTATAAAGCTATTAATGGTCTTAGTCCTATTTATTTATCTGATCTGCTTTTATCATATGAGACTCTCAGGTCCTCAGGTGCTCATCTTTTAACTGTGCCAAGAGTCCAAACTAAAACTCCCAGTGAATCGACATTCAGCTTTTACGTCGACCTGAGGATCTGAGGTCCGCTGCGAGTGTTCACATTTTTTAAAGTAAACTCAAAACGTATCTTTTTAATTTGGCTTTTAATTGAAACTTTTACCTGTTTTAACTTAAATTATTATTATTATTATTGTTGTTATTATATTTGTTTTAAATTAAATTACCATTACTATTTTACTTAGTCTCCATCTGATCTTAGCTCTCCATTTTTATTTTTACTATAACCTTTAGGAGCTTTATGTTTATGTTTTATGTTTCTGTTTAAATTGTTGTACCGTATTTTCCGGGCTATTAGACGCACTCTTAAGCCTCTAACCCTATCAAAAAACGTGTCCCAGCACGATTTCAGTAAACTACAAACCCCATCACCCGCAGCGCACGCAAACACGCACGGAGCAGACAGTGACCGCGCAGCGAAACACACCCACAGACACACTCATCACTCCAAGCGGGTGACGAATGGAACGGAGGAACGAAACGAAAAAGCGAGTGCAATGTGCCACTTCTAGACACAACTGAACAACCGAGTCACTGCGAACACGCCGACAATCCAGCGGTCCCAGACAGCACCCTCCCTACACGCCACAACTGAACAAAGCCCAGAGTCACCGTGAACGCGACAAAGTCCCACTGACCCATCGAACTGTTGTGTTTCGTTTAAAGTCCGGTGCGGTTTATTTGTGAAAAAAGTTTGAAAATAGACCATTTAATGACAGTGCGTCTTATAATCCAGAATGCCTAATAGCCCAGAAAATACGGTATATATGGATGAAACAATGGGGGGGTTGCTGTTGTTTTTAATTATTGTATTGTAATTTTTCTGTTGCATGTGAAGCACTACATTTCAAATGTATGAAAAGTGCTATACAAATAAAGTTTCATTGATTGATTGATTGATTGATTGAAGCCTGCTCACAGTAAGACTGCATTTTTTTCAAGGTATAAAACTTTTTTTTATGTAATTAAATCAATGTTAAAGAGATACGTTTAATGCCATACTGTGGAATAATCCAGACAAGGCAATAACATCTCCATGGAGACAAACAGATGGTGCATCCCCATTAGAAAAGTTACAAAGATCATCTTTCAACAGAAACTAATATCTGTGTGTGAAGCAAAAAGTTAATATGTATAGTGGATGTAATATTTTTTGTTAAAACCAAAAAATATATATAAAAATTGTATATCATCGTGTAACTAGGTCAGCATCTTTTTTTTATTTTTATTTCAACATTTAGATTTATTTTTCCTACTGTTTTTGCTGCGTATGGCACAGAAAGGTGACACGGTGCAACTTCAAGCTTCGGGCACTTAAATACATGAGGTAGTCCTTTGTATATACAATATAAACTTGACACTCTTATGGCTCTTCCTATCACATTAATGGTCTTCTGTCAGTCAGTGCTCGCCTGATCCACCAGAGGGCAGTGCTGTCCAGCCTACAGTCGCACTAGAGCTTTACGTCGTTGTTGACGGACAGCTGGGACACAGTCTTCTTCACCCTCAGAGCGGTGAGGCGGGCAGCTGGGTTGGTGTACCAGCATTCTCTCATCAGTTTGCCTATCACCCGTAAAGCCTGGGGAGACAGAAGAGAACACTGGGCTGTATTTCTGCAAAAATACATGTTTTTGAGCAAACGTTATTTATCCACGAGGGAAATTACTTGGACATTTGTGGATTCATAAATACAATAGTAGGCCATGTCAGTTTAAATGCTCAGTAAGTCTTTTTTGTGGACTTTTACAGTTTTATGAGTTGGAATTAAATCTCCTGGGTTTAAAATACATAATGCAGAATGAAAATATTTATGACCAACGCCCATTTGCCTCGCTTTGAATTTGCTTTTAACAACAGAGGCTATGGACAGTTTTGGTCCATAGTTTGGCAACATATACTGTGAATCAAAAAAAAAGAGAGATTTGCAACTTGCTTGTGCTGTCAATAAATACAAGTAAAACATGTACTCACTAGGCTTGGCATTAAGGTGATAAAAATCTAATCAATTTGAGTGACAGGTTGAATTAATATTTATAATAATTGAATATTGAAGTATGAACTCTTCAAAAAAGCAGATGGTTTTATTTACCACTTCTAAGGCTTTAGATACTAAGTTTACATGTATTGTGATCAAATCTGAATCACAATGTGGCTCAAACAAAATCTTAATATTATTTTTTTGGCGTTTCACCCATCTCTAGTACTCACTGGTTGATTATTTTAAAGGGACAGTCCAGAATTTTCGACATAGGACCTCATTTCCTAGTGAGCCAGAGTGTTGGAGACGTGTGGAGACACTTTTTAAAATATTCCATCCAGTCCTTGTATTTGCAGAGGTCGCTGGTGCTAGGCTAGTGCATGTCAATGGCCATAGTTATCCTGCCACTAAAAACAGTACCCACTCCACAAAACACCCGAAGCAAATCTATTATTTCGCCAGACTGTCGATGTAAATGTCTGTGTTGATAAATAATGTTTGAAATAAAACTAACCTTGCAGTGCATGAAATGTCACATGTTGAGGGACTATTTTCTCATATATCAGTTCGCCGCTGCTAAACTTTCTATCAGGAAGTACAACTTGCTGCTGCTACTCAGACATAAATTCTTCAAATGCTAGGTTGGTTTTCCTTCTAAAACTATTCTATAGACACAGACATTTACATTGACAGTCTCTACGTTATAATTGTTTTGTCTCAGGTGTTTTGTGGAGTGGGTAAGACTGTTTTAAGTGGCAGGATAACTATGGCCATTGACATGCACTAGCCTAGCACCAGTGACCTCTGCAAATACAAGGACTGGATGGAATATTTTAAAAAGTGTCTCCACACGTCTCCAACACTCTGGCTCACTAGGAAATGAGGTCCTATGTCCAAAATTCCAGACTGTCCCTTTAATATTCTACTCTAACTGTGAGTTCTAACATCATCCAAGCTTTATTTCAAACTTGAGGTCATCTACATAGAACATTTAAGACAGACAGACTGCTCTGCTCCAGCATCATTAAAAGTTATCATTTCATTTTGAGAGTCCTTGTTTCTACAGCATTTCTGATCACAGCTTTTAATTATTTTGCACAAACATCAAACTAATAGATATCAAGTATTTATCAGTGTCAACCTGCAGTCGTATTGTTTACATTACAAGATAATTCATAGTAAGTATAATGGTTCATATTAGATTGGTTTGTATTGGCGGCTGTTGCTTTACCTCACAGCTCTGCCACTGGTTAGGGACGTTGGGTCTGTATTTCTGCTCACACACCACTTTCCTCATGTCCTCAACAGAGGGATCTGAAGGCACCATGTCGTAGTAAGGCAACTGGAAATCCTCATGAAACCCTGTACACAAAAACATATCATAACTGTACATTGTATTAAAATGAATGCTTTTCTAGAGTATTATTACAGTTACAGTGTGTACTAGGGAAGTAACATTATCCAAATAACTCGATACAATATTCTCACGATATCCATCTCCATCCATTTATTGCGATATAAAACAAAATTGTGAGTATGCTACTTTTTTCTCATCACAATCAAATAATTAAGATTTAAAAGTGTTTATAACAGTTATTTTAGCATGTAGATTAAACTGAAACAGAGCAAAGGACCAAAATAATGAATTTAAGCAGAGAGACTTGAGATTCGATATATTGTGACAGCCCACGATATTATTGTGAGACTTTTGACGATACGATATCATGATATTTTGATTATTGTTACATCCCTAGTATGTACGTTTCTGGAGCTTGTACGTCATCTGCATGATTTCATGGAAATAGAAAGAATTTTATAGCTAAAGGAACAACATTTCCGTGGAAACAAGCAAGTGGACACCCCCCTCCAGACCAAATAAGAGTTAGGTTTGTGGAGATGAACATCTGCTCAGTTTTTCGGTGCAATAAAGACAATCATACAAAAAAATTAAGTTATATAGTTGTATTATTATTATTAGGGATATAACGATTTACAAATCTCACAGTATAATATTTTCACGATATACATCTCATGGTACGATATTTATTGCGATATTTTGTGCAGGCTGTGAACAAAACTGTTAATATGCTACTTTTTCCTCTAAAAATACCTTGACAAGACTTACCGTAATTAAAAAAACTAAGATTTAAAAGTGCTTAGACCTGCTATTTCTTCATTTAGTTTGCACCAATACGAAGCAAAGGATCATGGTTGATGTAGTTCCCACTGTTTTTTTAGCTATTGCTGCACCATAACTCCTAATTTAAGCAAAGGGACTTGTGATTCGATATATTGTGATGATCCACGACATTACTGTGAGACTTTTGACGATACAATATTACGATATTTTGTTTATTGTTACACCCTTAATTATTATTATATAATATTATATTATAATAGTCTATTTTTTGGGTAAAAAAGTATACACTGTTGCTTTAAAGGGCCCATAATGCACTGTTTTCAGATCTATGTTATAATGTGGTTTCCTCATCAAAAACAGACCTGGAGTTGTGTTTTGTTTGATTTATACATGTTTAACACACAATCCCTGCATATTTACTGTAGGCTCTTCCACCTTGTGATGTCATGTGGCAATACAGGAAATGCTCCACTATGTTTTTAAACTCCATACACCTTCACTAGAATCATTTGAACAATTTCAGCCCTGGAATTGCCACTCCCTACTGAACTAAATATAAAAGGTAGCTGTTACCTTGAAAACAACCACTACATGACATTATAAGGTGGAACAGATTTTGAGCTTTGGAGATGTAAGCAGACTAACAATGAAGGATTACTCAAGTATGTATGAATGAAACAAAACACATCTCCAGGAATATTTTTGATGAGGTAACATTATAACATGGCTTAAAGCTCACAGGAATCAATTTTGTGTAATATAAGACCTTCTTCTTTAAACCAGGCTTCATACCTCTGGCAGAACATCTCCGTGCGAGCTCCCAAAACACCAGCCCCAGTGAGTAGATGTCTGCGCGTTTAAATGACTCAAAGTTTGTGGTATTGATCGTCTCATCCAGGACTTCAGGGGCCATGTACCTGCAAAGGACAAGGCAATTAAAGCCCTAATGAAGAAAAAAGCCCAGCGCCTCTTCCACAATTACTGTAATTATCCTGTGCCCTGTGATAAATCTGAGTTAATTTGAAACATTTACTAAATTCAAAGCCACATGAAATGATCAACAACATTTTACATAATGGGGATTTAAATGTCAGTTTTGCCTGTGTTGGTGTTCTCTACTAATATCCTTCTTTAGATGCAACTTGGTGTTATTGTAATATTCTACAATAACTAGTAGTGTTGTCAAAAGTGTTGTAAATCAGATATTAATTAATGCTAAAACTAGAATAGAAACTAGATACTCATTTGAGCAAGTATTGATACTAAAAAAGTCACATTCACAGGACAGAATGAATAACTTTAGAATGATCTTGAGCTGTATCAGAACAAGTATAAGAGCACATAGACTAGTATACATCCATGAACCATAATTTAATGTTGATGTCTAAAGAAAGTTTGAGTTTTTATTATCATTGTGGTATTGGAATCAGTACAAAAATGTTAGTATTGTGCCAACATGAATCTCTAGTCTAACACTGTCAGATTTCTGATTTCTTGACATTTATTTGACGTTTATTTTTTAATATATCTGCAATTATTGGACCTATCCACATGAAACAAAAACTGGCACAAAGTTCAACATCTTCTCTATCAGTGTTAATAACCAAAAGTGTTTTTTTTTTACAATAACTCCAGAAAGTGTTATCATTATTCTACATCAAACACGTGATTGAAATGTGTGTACATACCCTGAGGTTAATAGAGCAAGCAACCCTAGCAAATAATAAAGTTCAACATTTGTGGATCATAAGATTAGATATTTCTTTCAAAAACTGTAAATATAGACCCCTGCCCTCTATCTGGCATTCTAAAGGGCCTATAGTTTAAAGTTGAGTTCAAGGGCAAATCGAAATGAGTATTTACGATATATATACGTATTTATCGAGCCCATATGAAACACAAACAGAATTGAATTTACATTGAATTACATATTTCTGTTGTAATTCTAGGGTTTTGTCACAGTTGAGACATTTTACATGGGCTTTATTACATTATTTCCTGATGTTGTAATGTTGTCTCCATCACAAACAGACCTGGAGTTGTGTTTTGTTTCATTCACACATGTTTAACACACAAACCCTGCATATTTAGGCTGAGTTCTTCTCTCAAACAGAAAACACTCTGTTCTACCTTGTGATGTCATGTGGTAATACACACAAGACTCCAATGTGTTTTTAAACTACGAACACCTTCACTAGAATCATTTGGATGATTTCAGACCTGGAGTTACTCATCTACACTAGACAAAAGGTAAAAGGAGCTGTTAATTGGAAACCTACTTCATCACAAGGTGGAACAGAGCATTTTGAGCTTTGGAGATGTAGACAAATTAATAATAAATGGTTATTCAAACAATATGAATCAAACAAAACATAACTCTAGGTATGTTTTTGTTGAGGTATAAACATTCTAACATGTCTTAAAGCTCATATCGTGATGAAAATGCAACATAATCGATAGGAAAAACTAAAAGTATAACACCAACATATCCTGAATCTGAAAACCATCAATAGAAAGTATTGTCTAGTTTATATTTGAGTTACGGTTAAATATTATGAATCTGTCAGGCCCACCTTTTAGTCCCGACCCTGTGGTTGGTCGGGATGTCAATGGAGTTTCTGGTAGAGTCGTGTTTCACAGCCAAACCCAGATCGGCGATGACTGCAGTGCCGTTCTTCTTCACCAGAACATTTTTAGACTTGAGGTCTCTGTGGGCGATGGCAGGTTTCCCTAAAAACAACACGAGGAAAACACTTCAGAGTTTGAAGGACTTTACTTTCTGATCTATAAGTATTAGACAGTGATGGGAAGAATACTTTAAAAATGTATTTAGTTACAAATCACTGAGTACCTCCATTAAAGATCCTACATTACGCAAAATTGACTCTTGTGAGCTTTTATCCATGTTATAATGCTGTTACCTCATACTTCTGTAGTTACTTCCCAACACTGGTATTGATACTTTGCAGATGACATTCCCAGAGGATGTGAAGCTAACTGAAAGAACTGCTCTGTCTGAAGCTCTGTTACTCAAGTTAGACTTAACCTGAGATTTATTTTAACGCAATCTGACCATAAAGAATAGATTTAACTGGAACTATAACAGGTGATAAACGAGTCTCTCACACATAAAATCACTGTCACGAGCTAACTAAATCAAATCAAACTTATTTGTAGAGTGAAATAAAACACACAATAAGCAAATCAAGCAGAATAATAATAATAAAAATAATAATAGCATCAAGGTGCCAAGTAAATGTAAGTAAGTAAATGTAAATGCCAAGGAGAAAACCAAGGAGAAAAGGTGCGTTTTGAGCAAGGATTTAAAGTGCTCCAGTGACTGTGCACTTCTAATGTGCAAAGACACAGTTGTGGACCGACCACATAAAAGGCCCTTTCTCCTCTGGTTCTCAGCCTGGTCCTGGGGATAACAAGGAGGTGCTGGTCTGCAGAGCACAGACCTCTGGATGGGACATGGGTCTGAAGGAGTTCAAATAAATAGGAAGATGCCATTCAATTAAGACTCTTTAAAACAATCATTAAAATTTTAAAATTGATTCTAAAATGTTCAGGGAGCCAATGCAGGGATTTAAGAATAGGAGTGATGTTGTCCCTCCAATTCTTTTCAGTTAAAAGGCAGAGCTGCTGCATTCTGGACCCCCTGTAGGCGGCTGAGCTGGGCCTGGTCAATGCAGCATACAAAGAGTTACAGTAATCGAGTTGTGAGGTCACAAATGCATGAATGGCCTTTTCAGACTGCAGACGTGGAATGTACGATTTGGTTTTGCTTAACACCCTTAACTGATAAAAACTTGATTTAAGAACAGGGCTTACTTGCTTTTCAAATTAAAATTGCAATAAAAAATGACACCAAGGTTTATAGAAAATTTTTCATAGGAGCTAAAATTCAATGAGTAATTTTTCTTGAGTTTTCAGACTAAAACATTTTTGGCAGTTTTAGCTCGTGTGTGCTGTGTCACCATGGTAACTGTTGAACTTTTTGCCAATAGAGATACATTTTAAACACCCCCAGCGTGACGTCACTGCAAAGTATGAGTTAGATCATAACTGACCCTGTGTGCCGATGATTTCCATGTGCAGATGTGCCAGGCCGCTGGCGATGGACAGGGCCAGGAGGATCATACCCTCCACAGACACAGTGAACCTGCTCAGATAATCGAACAGAGAGCCGTGCTCGTGGTATTCTGACACCAACCACAGCTGAGTCCACGAGCCATTGTCTGCAACACAACAACACAGGATTACACAACGTATATCAAACTGGATTTTAGTTCATTTTATTTGAGAGTTTGCTCATATACATGTTTTGAAGTGACATGGTAGTCCAAAATAGATTATTTTCCTCACTCTCTGGTGGAAAAAACACACTTTTAACATTTTCTTGAATTTGTAACATTTTAAGAGTCAATGTTTAATCTTGCAGCAGTAGTTAACTTATGAAGGGCTGAAGAAGTAGTAATATTAAACAACCAACCAAAGTGGCTAGTACAGTAAAATAGTAGAATATTTAGACTTAGACAAACTTAAACTTTTTATTGATCCACAGGGGAAATTATTTGTCCAGAAAGGAAAAATATGTGTACATATATTTTACAAAAATGTTGATTTATAGACACATTTAGCAGCTTGGCAATGTTACCATCCTTTCTCCTCTCCACCATGCAGCCACAACTTTATTTACACCTTGTTTTTAAATAAATGTCTATTTTTGTACCCTTTTTTAACATGTTTGGTCTTGTCCGAACCCTGAGCCTATAATAGTACCACTACAGAAGCTAATTATGTAATTCAAATATTTATTCTTGTTAAAAGAACTAAAGCTGATGACACAAAATTACATTAAATCCAATCCTATGTCTTACTAAAATATTATATTTTTGTCAAGACAAACTCAAGACAATTACAGTAGAAAGTAAATATCTTGGCTCTCTGTACACACTAAACCTCATGTTCAGTACTAGTTGGCCATTATAGACTCGTTATAATCATTATTTATGCTCATGTAACTTCTCAGCACAATCACCTTTGTTGTCAGCGGCGATGAACCCCAGGATATTGTCATGGCGAAGCATCACAGTCTGGTAAATCTCAGCCTCTCTGAACCAGGAGCGCTCGTCTCTGGAGGAGAAGATCTTCACAGCCACGTCCTCTCCCCTCCACTTCCCCCTCCACACCTCCCCAAAGCGCCCTTTCCCAATGCTCTCCTGCAGGACAATGGTGCGAGCTATAGTTCTCTGGACCAGCAGAGGGAGACCTGGGAGGTGAGAGAAGGTTGGTCAGATGCTTAAGTCAAATGTAAAGATCAAGTGATTATATTTTATGCTATGATAGTACCACACACACTACCAGTCAAAAGTTTTTACTCTACTTTTAAACTGTTTACTGTTGACCAAAACATATTCTAAACTTTTGATTCATGAAAGTGTCCACCTTTGGCAGATATAACAGCTGAACACACTCGTAACTCGTTCTTTTTTACAACAGAAATCAAATATTCTTCAGAAAGTTCTTCCCACATCTGTTGCAGAAGTTTCCATAAATGTGTGGCACTTGTAGGTTGTTTGGTTTTCACTCTTCTGCCCAGTTCATCCCAAAACCAGCTCGATGGGGTTTAAGTCTGGAGACTGTGCTGGACACTCCATGTTTTCAAGTTTACCATCTTGTTCTTTTTTCCTGAGGTAGTTTTGGCAGAGCTTGGACTTGTGTTTTGTATCTTTTATCTTTTTTTTTAACTGCTGGCTGCTCAGTACTTACCTTTGTACCATTTCAAGCTCTGCATTTGACTTGCACAACCTTAATTGTAACAAATAACTGGAAAAATTAGGGTGTTCTAAAACTTTTGACTAGGTAGTGTATGTTTTAAATGCAAAACTTCACTCCAAACCTAAATTTAAAGAGCCCATATTACGTTATTTTGATAGCATAGACAGTTGTGTTTTGTTTCAGTCACACATCTTTAACACACAAACTCTGCGTATTTAGGTTTTTCTCTCAAATAGATAACACTCTGTTCCACCTTGATGTTTGTCTCTACAGAACAAAGTTGGAACAGAGCATTCTGAGCTTTGGTGATGTAAACAGACTAATGTGATGTAAACAGACTAATAATAAAGGATTACTCAAACATGTAAAACACAACTCCAGGTTTCCATGTTTTTTTTTTCTTAATATAGGACCTTTAAGTCAGTTTTCAGCCCAGGAAGTTATACAATTAAACAACAAGGTTTAATTTTTATAAATCTATAATCAAATATTTAGTGTCATGTATTGATTATGTGTATCATTACAACATCTTTTGCATTTTCTGAATACTTTTTAGTTTTGCTGTGTATGAAAGCAAAAAAAACAAAATCTAAAATAACAAGAATGAAAAAAAAAATCAAAAAACACTTAAAAAATAAACTGACCTGACCCAGAGCCGGAGGTGCTCATGTCATAGATGAGCTCTCGGAGACACTTGTCCGGAGACATGAGCACCTGGTCGTCCAGCGGCTCCTCGGGGTCCTGTTTGTGGGCCCGGCCGTAGGTGCACCTGTGTGTACCCTGTACCACGCACACCGCCAACAGCACCGCCACACACAGCACAGAGGACAGCACCAGGACCAGGATCACCCACTGCAGCCTGCTCCAGCCCCCCTCCTCCTGCGATGGACGCTCTGAGGGAAAAGACGCCATAATTAGGACACAACTTATACTTTGCAGCCGAAGTCATCAACGTTCCCTGCGGGTGTGATGTTAACTGTCTGAGGCTTTGTTAGACTTTAATCTGTGCTTTATTTTAACATAATCTGACCACAACCGCTGATTTGTGCTGTTAAACACTTGAAAATTTGTTTTTTAAATCCATTTTTCACAGTCAGATGAAGAAACGAGGTAGAGCACTTCACAGGGTCATAAAAAAGTACAAAATATCAGTACAGGTGCCCTGCGATGGTTAAACTTGTAACCTTAACAAAATGTTGCCCTTAATGAAAAAAGTAAAAATGGGCACGCTACAAACCCAAAGCACTCTGACTGAATATATTAAAAGTCCTTTATTACATGGAGGGACGCCAACGAGTTTTGACCAACAAGATGGTTGGTCCTCGTCCGGGCATTATCCATTTTTGACAGTGTTTGGTAATGTGTGCATTGTTTCTCCATTCTCCACCCTAGAGCTACATGTAGAACCTCCCCAGCGTGATGTCACTGATAATACTGAAATGCATGACAGGTTAGACTACTAATTTTCACTAAAACACAGTTCTATTTAAAATTTTACAAAAAATCTTGTCTAATTTTTGTCAGTTTTTGCTTTTATGTGGTTTTAAATTGCTATTACATGTTGTTTTAAATGTATTCTTTTTCCTTTTTTTTCCACAATGATAAGTATTTACTATCCCACCACACTAAGTTATAATTGGAAAACATGAAAACCTGTCATATGCACTTAAATGTTGATCTATTGTTGATGTATTGTAGCGTAAGTTTGTGCACAGCGTCCTCTGGTGGTCATTCTTAGACACTGCTGTAATGATCACTGCAGTTACATCTTTTTGCTTTATTTTTTTGTGGTCTATCCTTTGAAAATACCAGATTAATGAGAAAATGCCAAAATCAGACAGAGTTACTTTTACTTGAGAGGTAGTTTTCCCAAATACCAATTAAGTCCTTTACTACTTTGAATTCCTACATGAGTAATATCTTTTTGAAGTAACATTACTCTTACTTGAGTACAGTTTTGGCAGCTGGACCTACCACTTTGAGACAATTAAAAGCAAAATTTAGCTGAATACAATCAACCTACATACATCTAGCATTTTTTGTTTACATGTGTTTCTATTGCTCAAAAATACAATAATTCCGATTCTCCACAGATCTGAATTGTAATGTAGAGTACTGCTGTAACCTGCTTGTCTCCCTCGTGATTGATTGGTTTAATCTATACTAACATTTCTAGACAAATCAATAACATTTCCATGGAAGATAAACTGGTGGCGGACCTTCTAATGTTACGCAGTGCACCTTTAAGTTTTGTCCAGAGGGAAAATTCATTTGCAGCAAGATGAAAATGGCAGAATATTCCTTAGAAAAGTAGAGCTGCTTTATTATTGTGCCAAACCTGACTGGTGAGCTGTGTTTGTTTTGATGAGACCGGCTGAGAGCTCCTTAAAATGTAGTAGGCTGTGTGTCCCTGACCTTCTGCGCGTGTGGGTGGACAGAGGAGCAGCTCACAAACAGCAGGGCAGGTGCTGAGCTGATAAAAGAAGATTTACTGACAAGCTATCAAATAATCAACTCTTACTCTGAGGCTGGCAACAGCAGTGTACAGTCTTCAAAATACTGGCATTTTACAGAAATGCAGGACCAAAAACTGCAGTTAATTCAAACGTGGGCACATCTCAGACATGTTCATCCAAGGTAAAAGACTATTGTGTACTATATCACTGAAATGTCTGCATCAATAATGTGATAGAGAAACACAACAATGCAAAAGGTTTATAGCTTGTTTCTGCAGCACAATGGTCTGTTGTCTCACAGCAAGAAAGTCCCAGGATCGATTCCAGACCCAGATTTTTTGTGACGTTTCCATATTCATGTCTCTCTGGGTTTATTCTGAGTGCTCTGATTTCTCCCATCAACCCAAAAATTCACAATGGGCCATTCTATAATGAGGTGCTCCTGACCAAGAGGCACAGCAGAATGAGTTTCAGAGCATCACACTGGGGTCACTCACGGCTACTGACCGGTGCTCACAGGCACCGGTTGAAGGATGGATCAAATTCCTCAAGATCAACAGCACAATGACTGATTCCATGACATTACATCCTTTTAATGAGTTTGTTAAATAGTTATGTAAAATATACTTTTATGGGGTTTTAACCATGTTCATCATCAAGTATTTCAAATTAATCAGGTATGTTTGAGTAAACCTGGATTGTCCCACATTTGAGCCATGAGTGCTCAGAAAATGTTGGTTTTTAAAGCCCTCCTGTCTCCACCCACATCCTTGTACATACCGGCCTTTTGTCAACAATAATAACGCCTCTCAGTCTGCCCCAGGGCAGCTGTGGCTACAGTAGGAGCTTACCACCACCAAGTGTGGAATGAATGAATAAAGCTCTGTGAAGTGTTCTGGGTGTTTTGAAAGGTCCTATGTGAACCCAGTGGTTAAATAATAAATAAATTAAAAGAAAATCCACTGCTTGCTTTGGTAAAATTCCACTCTGAAGAGGTGGGCTCTATCAGTTCTGCAGTTTTGAGCAGGAAATCAATTGACCTTTTTCTATTATTAAGTTGTTTTGGTTGGCTTGGGATCCAGAACACACACTTCTTCAATATTTTACAAAGATGTGGTCATCGGTGAATCTCCCCATTTTCACATGGGTGTGATTGGCAGGTGGATTAGCCAATCACCGGCTTGTATGCACACAGGCACTGACACACACACACGCACACACACACACACGCACACACACATGCACACACGCATACACACACACACACGCACACACACACACACACACACACACGCATACACACACACACACACACACACACACACACACGCACACACACACGCACACACACGCACACACGCACATACACACACGCACACACACGCACACACACGCACACACGCATACACACACACACACACGCACACACACCCATGCACTGACACACACATTGATGCACACAGATGCACACAGATGTGCATACACGCACATGCACAGATGCCAGCAAAGAACACGGCAAAAAAAAATCTGGGAACGGGTGTGAAGCACACATCGTCAGTAACGATGCCTCTATGTGGCCCTCGATAAAACACAGGATGAGTCGACCACCATCAGCTGCTCCTAAAGAAGCACGAGGAGAGGAAAGCTCCTCCTGAACAAGCCTGAGCAGAAGAGAGCTGCTCCTGCTCCTTTATTATTAGTCTGTCTACATCTCCAAAGGTCAAAATGCTCTGGTCCACCTTGTGATGTCACGAAGCAGCAATTTTCAAGTTAACAGTTCCCTTTTAACTTTAGTCCAGCAGAGACTGGCAATTCCAGGGCTGAAATCACTCAAATGATTATAATGCAAGTGTATGGAGTTTTAAAACACAGTGGAGCATTTCCTGGATTACCAGGTGACATCATAAGGTGGAACAGAGTGAGAGAAGAACTCATCTTAAATATGTGGGATTTATGTGTTTAACCTGTGTGAATGAAACAAAACACAACTCCAGGTCTGTTTGTAATAAGGAAACAACATTATAACACTGATTAGAAAATAGCGTAATATGATGGGCCCTTTAAAGAAAAAACACTCCTTATGAAACTTTAATCTTGCATTAAGTCGAGAACAACAGATCTTAGACCATCTTAAAGGTACAACATATGGGCCATACATGGAGACAGTTACTATATTTAACTCCTCTGTCTGGCTCTGTAATTTCTACTTTCTCTGTGTGCTCAGACTGGCCGTACAAACCCAATCAGAGTATTTATAACAGTGTGGCGGGGGAGGGGGAGGGGCCAGCGCGGACCGCCAGCTCGGTTATGTCACAGGATCTAGTGGGATCAGAGTCTGTCTCACCCGGGATCTCCCACACACTGACCCAACTGCTGCTGAAAACCGCCTCACAGAAACATTCACATATCAGAGGTTATTTGTGTATCTGTAAACAAAAGCTGGAATTTGACATTTTATTAAAGGGCTGATTTCTGATTTATGTTATAATGTCGTTTCCTTGTCACAAACAGACCTGGAGTTGTGTTTGTTTCATTCTCACATGATTAACACACAAACCCTGAATATTTAGGAGTGAATTCTTCTCCAAAACTAATCACTTCATGACATCAGAAGGTGGAAGAGAGCACGGTGATGTAGACAGACTAATAATAAAAGGTTCCTCAAGCGTTTGTGAATGAAACAAAACACAACTCCAGGCATGTTTTTGATGAAGTTATTACATTTAACACGACTTAAAGCTTGTAAAGAGTAAATTTCTCATAATACAGAACCTTTAAGAAAAAATATTAAATTGTGAAAATGATAGAGAATGTATTTTTATAGTTTTTAAAGAGTAAACTAAAAACTTGGTGGATTTTGCAGATTTTTTTTAGAATCAGAATATTTTATTGATCTGCAAGGGAAATCATTTGTTTGCTATGACTCCAATAAATATCCAAAACTCAAATTAATACAGTAGCAAAGCCAACAGTCCATACAAAAGCTAATATAAAAGTGCTAGTGCAACAATAAATTAGGAAGTATTGGAGTATTTAGTTTGGAGCAGTTTGTTACTGACCGAGCTCCTCAGGGATAAATAAAGTTATTGATTGGTTGATTGTCCAGTGTGCTCTGCAGAGGGTCTCTAAAATGGATCTAATTTTGCCAAAATTCTCCTCTCCATCACTGTGAGAGAGTCCATTTCCTCTCCAAACAGATCGTATGACATGGCTCACTATAATATTGTGAATATGACGACAAAAATTAACTCGGGCTTGATAGTTGGTGACTGACAACAACTTGGGTCTGCACTAGGGATGGGCATGATTTGTCAACTAATTGATAATTGATCGTTAAAAATTTCATCGATCACGTTCATTTTTAATCGACAAACTGAATGTAGGTTGCTGTGCGTAAGGAGATGAGGCTGCGTCTGACAGAGTAAACAGTGGAGTTGCGGCCTCATAGTCCCATGTTTTGGCTCTGGCACCTCCTTGGAGATCACTATATCCCTCAGTGAGTGTGTTTACATGCACATCAGGATCTCGTCATGGTGCATGTAAACGCAGTATCACGGTTACTGCAACATAAAGTTGAGTGTGCATGCGTCCAACAGACAAACACTTTTCAGTCTTTTCATCACAACAGTAGCCAAAATAAAGTAAATAAAGTGACCAACATAAATAAAGTGAGTGAGATGAAGTTAAATAAAGAGCTGCACTAAGGGTTAAGAGCAGCACTTTCAGTTTATGAAAATGAGCCATGCGGTTTTAAGATTAATTTCTGTAAAATGTAAACAAATGTGTCAAATCTGCATTAAACACATTATAATCTCAAACAGGCTGATGTGACTCTATAGTGGTTATGGTTTATATGTTGTAAAGTTGAATTTATTTATGCAAATTTGTAATAGTAATAATAATGATGATAATTTTAATGTAAAAGCGTTAATGATTAATTGAAAATCGATCATTAATTCTCCCAACGATTAAGAATTTAATTGACTGCCCATCCCTAATCTGTACTACATTATACATTTTAAAATACATTATCAAATGGTAAACAATATGCCAATATGAGCCATATTAGTCATATTAGCCAGTATGACTTAGACCTAAAGGTTAATGTTTCACAGTATGGCATTAAACATATCTGTCTTTTATTTATTCAATTACAGCATGAATTCTTACTGTGAATGCCTGTCTCCATGAATCAGTGCTGTCATGATACAAAAATTAAAAAAAAGCATGCAGAAGACTAATAATAAAAGGTTACTCAAACATGTGTGTATGAAACTCCAGGTTTGTTTTTGAGGAAATAACAGCATTATAATGTGGCTTAATGCTCAGAAGAGTCAGTTTTATATATAATAAGATCTTTAATGACCTGAGTGGTGGACTGTCCATCAGAAGTTTTTTTGTTTGTTTGTTTGGTTTTTGTTTTGGGGATCATGTACTAAAATGTAAAAACTTACAAAACAAATGAAGACTACAATCATAACCCCACATCTCCCTTGTATTTGTGCCTGTACCTGTGTGTAGATGCAGTGTGTGATTGTTGCAGAAGTCAGTGAAGCAGCAGTTCCTCTTGGACACGTTCCAGGAGCCGTAACAGAAGAGCTGACCCCTCATCTCAGCGGGCGTCAGGCAGGTCTGGTCCACCCTCTCCTTCCCCCCGACCAGCATCACAGAGTTCCAGCACGCTCCATCTGCAGACGTCTCACAGGTGTGGTTGGCACAGAGCTGGCACACGCACTTCAGAGCTGAAAAAATAAAGGGAAAAAATACATAAATCCAGTAGTCTCATTCAGAATATTCTACTGTTCATAGATAGAGAGCGAGGGTTTGGAGCTATGGCTGCACGATTTTGGATTAAAATCGAAATGCTGACAAGAATTGAGATGACATTTGCAACATTTAAAAAAATAAGATTCAGTTCACATTGTAAACACATGCAGGAGCATAAACATCTGGAAAAAGTCTGAAATATGAAGGGATAAACTAATACAGGAATGTGCAGGAGTTGTGCGTAATGAAAAGGAGCTGACAACTTGTCACATTTCAGACAGAGAAAGCCGTGTGTCGCTTTATTAACTGACCAGAAAACTCTAGATAAAATGGCTAATAACTGTAAACTGAACAGCATGTCTCAAACGTCATCGGGTCTTAAGGGGATCGTGACTATACTGTATATAGAGCACAAACCTGAAAACTGTGAACAGTGAACATAAAATGCTTAATCAATACCTGAGTGGAATGATACATAGGAACAACAATGTATAGGTAAACATTTAACTAATGTGTCTCCAGTTAGCAATTATGTATGTAAACATGTATGCTGAAGGCACTACAAATGTCAATTTAAGAACATGTAGAACTACAGCCACTACAGTAATATAAAACATAATTTCAGCCTTTACGATTTGATAATCGTAATTGATAACCTATGTCACACATATGTGGAAGAATTCAATTGTGGTTGATCTGAGCCATATTGTTTCTAAGGAAAGTGGGCAGTGTTTAGTTTGTCTACTTTTTACGCACACAAAAAAAGTTTGAAAATGTGTGAAATGTGTCTAGAGGCTTTAAAGTGCTTTACTATGACTTCTATGACTATGACAGCCATGTTTTACGTATTAAAAGAAAGAAATTTCTTAGAGTCCATCATATTGGACTTGTATTATCAATCATTTGTAGGTAACGCCATCAGGCCAAGTTACAGGTCAGATCTGTGGAAAGGCAAGCTTGCTGATATAAGATGATCAAAGTATAATTTTTTGGCAATAAAACATCTCTAATTGAATAAGTGCATGATAGAAAGGAAAAACAAAAACAAAACATTAACATCTCCATAGAGACAAGCAAGTGGTGGACCCCCAAAGGAAAAGTTACTCGGCTTTAATCTTAAAAGCTTTTGAACTGATAGAACTTCCCTTTGTGATAAAAAAAATACCCAAACTTTTTGGCCTCAATAGTATTTATTTATTTACGCTGTAAATGTTGAAAAGTGTGAAAAAGATTTATAGAAATATTAACCATAAACAAAATTTAACAATACATTTTGACCTGTGCTCCAGCTGCTTTTTACTCTACAGTCACATTAGAAAGTTGTGACGTCCCGTGAACTCAGCCCATTAGAAACGCATCAGTTATTTCTCTAATTTTGATTGTTTTTAGGGATGCCCAGGTTACGTAAGGTACAGTCAGTCAGTTAAGCACCAGAGCTGTACAAGTAATGCTGCTTAGTCTAACACCCAGGTAATCCTGTGTTCTCCTCCGAGCTGCTGCCTGCTGCGTTTAATCAAAGTCTGAGTCACTGGATAAGACACGTATATACATTTATACATGAGTAATTCCTATATATGATCTATATAGTATTATCATGATGTGCCTGTTGCAGCCATTTTCGTCCTACACTTGGTTGAAAGTGTTTGGGGTGGAGTCTTGGGGGTGGGGCCTGGTGGCTCAAAGCCAGAAGACCGATGTGGCCTGATTATTCTTTGTGTGGAAGTGGAAGCTGTAGAAGGCCGAGGCCATATAGTTTTTTGACCGTGTGAACCAGATGTATTGTGCAATCTTTATTTGTAGAACCTGCATCTTTAATTAAACCCTATAACCAATATTCTGTTAGCCTGATTCATCAGCCGCTTTCACTTTGTGGAAACCGTCTGACCGCACAGCATTAGGATTTGTTCGCTCAAGGGTAGGTGGGTACTTTTTTTTTTGTTAACTAATCGCTGCTATTTGGTCGTGACGTGTGTAATGCACCAAATCCCGTAGGAAGAAGGGCAATAACGTCTTTCCCATTGATAACATTAATCAAACATTCTTTTTGTTTTGACTTTAAATCCTCGATCTCGGGAGTCGTTGCCAACACAGAATGTCTGTCTTCGTCTACATCCATCTCGACCGCTTTGTTTACTGTTGTGCTGTACCACAAAAGGGACCCAGACAGGCACTTGAGTTTGACGTCATGGCTTCACAGCTCTTCGCTGATTGGCCGGTGCTAGTGTATTCAGATTCCTGACCTAGTCACTGGAGAGAAATGAAATTGAGCGGAGGCACTAGATAGCACCAGCCTGGCTAATATTCTGTAAGTTTGGACATTGAATCTTTATGTTTTCAACTTTAGACACATGAGTCAAGCTAATGCCATGCCCTTACAGCGATAGTGGCAAACTGTGGCGTTAAACTGCTACTACAGTGCCATGAGTAGTGGTGGATATGGGTGCAAAATTACAAGTATTTATACAAAACACTGGACAATAAGTCAAATATTAGAAGATAAAGTTCCAATAAAGTACTTGATTCCGGATTCATTGTACATTATTAAAACAGACAAGGACAGCGACAATACAAACAATACACACATTTATGTTTTTAAAAGACAGCCACAACAGTGTCTCCATATGCTGGAGTGATATTGTACTGCAGTGAACAACAGATTTATGAGTGGCATTATTATTTCATTGTCTGATTAGTTCAACCTGCAAATAAAAGTGTACATTAAAGTTCTGCTTGCAAAGTGTTCCCTCGTGCAGTCTTACATCCTAGTGGCACTCGTCCATTGCATCCATATTTAATTTTTACAGAGATATTTATAGTAATATTTATGGTGTTACTGAGTGTTTCATTATTATTCATGCCTTTACACCTTAACACCTTGACTATTAGATACCTCTGCATGTGAAGCTCTTGCACTTGAATAGACAGAGTGATGGCATTGTGTAAGACGTGCAGTTAAATGTTCAAGTTCAAATAGGTGTGATTGACAGGTGGATTAGCCAATCACGGACACACATTGTCACTTTTCAAAAAAAAAAAAAAAGGCAGCTTACATGAATAAAAGAAAGGAGACAGAAAAAACATCACAGATTTCTGCAGAATCACTGAGCAAAGCATAAAAAAGAAATGCAATTTTTGTTTTTGTAAATGACAAATGAAATGACCTTCCTTCATTTCATATTTTACTGAAAAAAATAAAATAAAAATCAGATGGCACGATCACGTTTGGCTCTGACCAGAGTCGTGATCAGATTTATATAGTGTGTAAAAAAGTGTAAAAAAGAGAGAGGAATCATTCTGGATTTGCCAGCCAAGGACCAAGTAAATCTAATACTTCATGTGACTTTCGTATGACAAAAAGAATTCAGCATGTTTTTCTTCCTCAATTTGTCTTATTAAAAAGAAATGATATGTTTCAACAGACAGGCCCATTCATTTCCTGATAATAGATACTACAAATATTTAATCAGATTCAGTTAAAAAAGGTTAAATTTTTTCCTCCAAAGTTTGAATTGGTGCTGAAACAGAATAATACTGACTGACTAATACTATTTTGATCATTGTTTTTTATATTTCAACCTTTATTTGGTTCAGAATGCATTTTTAAAAATCTCAGTGTAGCGTATGAATTATTATTTGTAATTCAAATCACTGTTTCTCCTCATTTCTGTGGGCCAGCGGGTCATGTCACAGTACCCCCACTGAAGTGAAATAACCTTTCTGCATTCAAACTGAAAAAAAGAAAAAAACATCCTTGGCAAGCTCGTCCATCTGACTGTTGAGTATGAACCCATCTGTTATTATTTTCAAAACACTCTTCCAACCTTTGCAACTAAAAGCCTTGAGAGAGAAATTCGTTTTATGATGACGCAATGCAGTATAGCACCAGCCTGTAATGTTCTTTGAACATATTGTTCAAACACACAGAAGTACAAATATAACATGGACTAGGTCACATACGGCACATGAGACACTGGTTCAGAGAAAATAGGTCTAGAATTGATCAAAATGATTCTCAGAAAAGCTCAAGTTGTTGCTTGGTAACACAATATATCTAAGGTTTGCCAATGAAAGTTCAATACATGCAAGTTGTGAAGTTTGGTTAGATGTGATTCATTATTCACCGTGAATTACAATTAGATTTACACAATTTACAGGTCCTACAGTGACTCTTGTGAGGTTTAAGCCATGTTATAATGTTGACACTTTCTCAAAAACAAACCTGGAGTTATGTTTTGTGTCATTCACAGATGTTTGAGTAACCCTTTATTATCTTATCTATTAGTCTGTTTACAAGCTCCAAATGCTCTGTTCCACCTTGTCATGTCATGTAGTGATAGATTTCAAGTTAACAGCTACATTTTACCTTTAGTTCAGCAGAGATTGGCAATTCCAGGGCTGAAATCATCAAAATGATTCTAGTGAAAGTGTATGGAGTTAAAAAAAAAAAACAGTGGAGCACTTCCTGTATTCTCACATGACATCACAAGGTGGAATAGAGTGTTTTCAATTTGAGAGAAGAAAAATGCAGGATTTGTGTGTTAAACGTGTGAATGAAACTAAACACAATGGCAGGTCTGTTTTTGATGAGGAAACATTAACCGTTAGACCGTTAAAAGTTTAGGATAGACAACCTGAACAGGGTTAAAGTGTTTGAACTACACATTTTACTAAAACACAATTAAGTTAAATTTATGATTTTACCAAAAACATTTTTTCCCAATTTTGCAATTTTATAGGTTTCAAATCATGACATTGTGCTATCCTGTTACCTAGCAACCGTGTGGTACATTGGGCAAAAACGTCTCTAATGTACACAGAAATTATGATCTGATGAATAAAAAATGTATAAAACACCTTTATTTTGTTGAAAAAATGTTTAAATATTGGGAAAATTTAGTTTTTTGTGTGTGAATTGTGCAAAACTTTTGGATAGAATTCTCAGCATGGAACTCTTTACAATAAAACTCTCTACTTT